CCTCAGGCTAGTATACAAAGGATGGGTCGTTGGCAATCGGGCGTGTACCGCTGCTATATTCGCATTTTCCCCGATAGTGTTCATTATGAACGGTTAGACCCAATTCGCCAATGATTTACCCTTTAATATCCCAACAATGTATTTCTTTTTCTTTTCCTTTCATGAGCTACGGTCCAATCGGCGCCTTTCAAACCTCTTGTGTGGATTGTGGGGGATACCATAGTTCATTGTGGGCATCTGTGATTGCAGCTACCTCCGAAGATGGTGCAGCGCTGAATAAGTTGCCACACGTGCGTTAGGATTACATCTGATGTGATGGCTGGGAGTCAGAACAGGCGAACACTGATTTTATAATAATGCACGTCGGGTCCAATGACCTATGGATTCTTCCCCAAAAGACTATATAAGAGGCAATTAAAAGCCTCCTCTCGGTGGCCTGATCCCCGTTGCCCCAAACCATTATGTTTTGGTCACTGAACCCTATTGCCATAGGTTAATTACCTTGGCGCCTTGCAACAAAACAAGGTGGAGCGGGCCTGTCGCGCCATTAACCCTAACCCCTAGGGTGTATGTACAATTGTATTAAAATTGGAGGATTTGGGACTGGTAGGGTTAATCGGGAGATGGGAAAATCAGAGAGTTTTTCAGGAGGTTTTCGTCCTTCCCTGAATTGGATTCTTGTTGCTGTGTAACTTCATTCTGGACGTCGTCATAGGCCTGAGGCATGTTCATTGATTTAAATGAAACTTAGCAACATAGTTATCCCCAGAAATGATTCATTTATAAAGTAAGAAATTTATGCCAGGATTCAATCTTTTACATGGCAAGCTTGGTTTTTTTTTTTGGGGGGGGGGCGTCATAATATTATAACATATACATATAATCGGCATTATGTTGGTGTTTCGCGGATCGCATCGACCGAAGACAAATTGAGCAATTTTTTGTGACCGGTCGACTATTCTAGTCACCTGGTCCCTCCACTTCTGTAACATTCCCTATTCACTTCCAGACTTCAAAATTCTTCTTTCTACCATGCACCTCAAGAACAGACTTGTACTATTTAACGTAATTAGATGCAGCCTTGTCTTGTAGAGCGCCCTCTCTTTTATAAGCCTTCACTTTATACACTTGATATAAATAGCTGTGTATAAAGTCAAGGCTTATAAAAGAGAACTTCTCTACTAACTGCATGCCGGAAAATGCACCTAAGAGCAATTCATATCCACTAAACCACTCAGAATAGCCACATAATTACAACCTCTACAGAAAAAAGCTCATCATTCATGCTGAACGCAACCCCATACCTTCTCATCCTTAACAATTCGATGCAGTTGATGAGATTTCTGTTCAGTACTAGGATGCAGTGGTGCACCTGTGTAGGGAATAACTTAAGAGACAGTCTTGATGCATCGTGATAACCCACTAACGAATCACAGAACTTATGACCCACTGAACAGCTTCAGCTCAGACTTTCAAGTGGTGAGGACGGTTTGCTGATGGGTTCGAAACATTGGGACCAGAGAGAACAACGTTGCTATTAAGCTCGTACAATGTTAGAATTTTACAGGGTGTCCCCTCCATCATAATTATTCACATCATGTTTAACCGTTTGCCCAAACTTAACGGCGATGTCAGCGAAGGCAAACTTCCGCTTGTCGCGTTTTTTTAAAGAATTCCCGAGACCTCAGCGCATGCCAGCAATAA